CAGTTTGTCAAATCATAAGAGTATGTGTAATTATGTGTAGTCCACCTGAGCTTGTTCTTAAATCATTACCATGATACCGAAGATAAATTTAAAACCTTTTATGAATGATTAGTACAAAAACTATTTAGCATGTTTTCACAAAAATCTCAACAGCACTAAGGTGAGTAGTCTGAACTTTCGACTGTTTAACGTGAAATTAAATAAAATAAATATTTCTCAATTTCCTCAATGACAACTCAATGAAAAGGTCACATTCAATTATAGTAGCACATTCCACATTTGAATTATAATTAGTTTGAGCTTTATTACTGCTAATATGACTACTTCATATGACAAATTCTTATTTAACATTACTGACCTCTATTTGGTAGTTCAGGGTAACTAAAATCAAACATTGTTGACCTCTATTTAAAAGTCGTGGAACTAAAGTTTTTCATAGTGTTGACATTGTACTATGGTAGAAATATTTCTATGCCTTGACATTCCACAACAGTAGACAAACAACACAAATTTAAACACATTGACAAGGTCAAGGGAAAACATTAGTTGCAAGACTATGGAAGAACAACACCTTGAACAAGGTGTTGATCATTGGTAGTACTACTATCGAAAACCCTTGATCTTTTTGTGAGGGTATCCCCTCAAACTTTGTTCAGTGGGATAAAAAATACATAAGAATAAGTACCGACAGGATGAAGACCCAGGAAGCATTAAAAGCAGTCAGAAATAGAAACAATTTCCCTATGGAGATCAACAGAGAATGCAATCAACTAATGAAACAAAAGGTATTCCAGGAAAAATGCTCTTGCAAATGTAGTCTATTACAGACTGGTAAATATCTTGACTATTTTAATTCAAAGGTAAAGTTGTATTTTAGAGGAATGCATTATCTTCGGGAAAAATATTCACCCTCTGTACATAACATGTTATCCTGAATTATCACAATGTATGTGTCATGTTGTTATGTTAATGTTATGTTTTAAAAATCCCAGGGTCAGGGCAAGGGGATGAGGGTCAAACCGTTTTTTCAGACTCAGTAAAAAAATAACTCCATTTAAAAAAAGGTTCTACTTATTCCTAACCTGAGAAATTATATGTCCTGTCCATATGGACCCACCTTAAATCAGTTCCATCAGGTATATAAAATATTTTGGAGAAATATTATTCATGATTGACACATGAATATTCCTGAATAATTCATGAATATTCATTCATGGTGAATAAGACATATGTGATGCATAAGTTCATTTATTAATGTTCTTGAAAATTAAAGAATTACCAAAAATTGAAATCTTTACAGTTAATTTTATGAAAAGGTCATTGGATTCTTACAAGGTATGGAAAACAGCCTGAGCATTTAAAAGGCTTTAAATCAGTTGAGAAAGCTTTAAATCAGTTTAAAAGGCATTAAATCACCAGGTTCTGCATTAGCATAGAGACTGCAAAGTGCCAGGAGCCTATAAGTGTATCTCATATATTTGAATCAATTCAATAGTTATGTCAAATCCCTTTTGCCTTAATAACAATGGCATTCTCCTTAGAAGTCAGTTCATTTTTCAAAACACAAGGGGTTATGTTTTTATCTAAGGCGTAACTGTTCATGAATATTAGAAGTTCTTCCATGTTTTGATTCCCAGTTGAGAAGATAACAAAGGAAAGAGGAATATGTCACAACGATGATCTTAAAAATTCAAAAGATATCTTCAAATAATCCTCCATGGAAATGTAATAAAAGAATGTCTTACTTCACTGGTCCACTTTGATTAATATAATATTAAGATTCCGATATTTAATCGAACAATGTTAAATGTTGATATACTCAAAGTATCACCCTTGTAAGGTTAAATCACAATCTGGATGACAAAAGGACCATCTAGTTCTACACCTTTTACATTGTTCGATTAAATATCGGAATCTTAATATTAATCAAACTGGAAATCTATATGTATCTTTTATTGACTCTAGATGTCATGACCTGACTTATTAATCATTACAAAAAGTATTAACTACACTATTCTAGGCTATCTCATCAATAAATTAAATAAAGGACCCACGGTCCTGTGCTCACACAGTTTAGAACCTTCAGAGTAATGTATATCCTGACTTTCAAACAAAAATATTGATTTGGTTTTGTAGTCTCAAACTTTGAGAAACTTAGATAGCACAGTTGTGTGACCTAGTTTGATGACCTTTGACCTTGAAAATTTTACATATTCAGAGCTCAGTAAGGTCTTTTGTGATTAAGCTGACCAAAATTTACATTCAAAAATCAATTTGAAAAATCAACTTTTTTGACCTTTCGAAGGTCACTGTAGGTCGAGTAAAGGTCAAATCCTAAAACTAATGTCAGATTTGAACTCCTGGCAATTTGTAGATGATTTTCAATAAAAATCTGGTCAAACTGAAGCAAGCTGAAAAAGAACTTATTTTCACTGTTTTTTCACGTCAAATATCTCAAAAATGGTAAAAATTTGATGCTGACATATTTTGAGCAATATGTAGGGAATGCTTTAATCTAGTAATGATGTAATTCATTGCAAGAAATTATCAAGTATAAGGCAAACTTTGAGGAACTTATCAATCACAAAACCTGCCATTGACTTAAATGAGATAGTTTCCTGAAAATGACTAAGTCCTACTTTTTGTCAAATTTTATAGAGTAAACACCAAAAACTAATTCCAAGAGCTTTGAAATCTTCAGAGGAGATTAGTTGCATATATAGCAACTACTACAAGTTATTTGAAAGTTCTACTTCAACAAAGTGTCTAGTATTTACAGAAAATTCGACTTTTTGATGTCAAAATCAGCAATTTCTCTGAAACCAGGCGAACTTGGGAGATGGCGATGATAGGTCAAATAGGCATAATGGATATGCATAAAATGAATGTGGATATGACTCAATCCGAATAGCCGTTTTAATTCATGTGGGCAATGTTGACAGACAGACGGACAGACGGACAGACGGACGGACCAACGGACGGACCAACGGACAGACGGACGACGGATGGACCAATGGACGGACGCCTGGTCGATCCCATAGGCTCACTGTGTGAGCCAAAAAGAGTAATTTTTGTGAGCTTTTACATATAAAAGAATGGTTAATTAGCCAACCAAAACTGATATTGCCATCTAGTTCTCCATCTAAAAAGAAAATCATTTTTAATTCATCACAAGTCTTTGTTGCCCCTTTAACATAATACTTTCATTTTCCATTTTCTTTTTGACTCTAATATAGACAGATACAATGTACTTAAAAATTGTGTTTTTATCCTTATTCCTGGAAGTCCGCATCTCAATACTTACCAAAAAAGGGCTCTGTGGAGACTCCTCCTTTTAATACAACGTTCAAATTCATATCTCCTCCCAAAACATAAAACTTAAACTTTCTGTTAAAATTGTAAAATGATATTTACTATCTACCAGTAAACATCCTAGAAGGGAGAAAGGGTGTTACCCTTTGCATTCAAAGGATTATCCAGAAATAAACCCAAACCATATTGGACTTTTTAGAAAATAGGCACAAAATTAAAACTGTGAATGTGATGATTTCTTATGAGCTTCTTTTACTCATCTATGTCTCATCTACTTCCTTTAAACCCAAGAAAAAAATTTTTTTCAGGTATTAAATTCAGGATTGAGAGGAACCTATTGACACATCTATTGAGAAGTAACCCTTGCTGGTACTTTAAATCAAACAAAAAGGAAGACGTGTTAACACCATTTGTCTCAGATATACTCAAAATTAATCACTGAATCGATGAACTGGCAAATAACTTAGAATACTATACCATCATAACAACCCGTTATGTCTTGAGAGAAAAATTGCCAAGGCTCAATAACAAGACATAGAATAGAAGATTATTTATCAGGCCAAGGAAAGTGAACACGCTAAGCAGTAGGTGCTGTCGGCATAACCCTGAGGTTGTGAGTATGAGACAAGCTCATTTCTCTATTCATTTCGCAAGTGATATTCTTTAGCCCAAAGCATCTTTAACACAACACAGTTTAACACAACTTGGATACAAATGCTTATTTGATTATTTAACCAGGCCTTATCCAATGAGGAGAGTTAGGTAGGCCATTGGTTATGCCATTAATCTTTGATTATTTAACCCGGCCTTATCCAATGAGGAGAGTTAGTTAGCCAATGGGTTATGCCATTAATCTTTGATTATTTAACCCGGCCTTATCCAATGAGGAGAGTTAGGTAGGCCATTGGTTATGCCGTTAATCTTTGATTATTTAACCCGGCCTTATCCAATGAGGAGAGTTAGGTAGGCCATTGGTTATGCCGTTAATCTTTGATTATTTAACCTGGCCTTATCCAATGAGGAGAATTAGGTAGGCCATTGGTTATGCCGTTAATCTTTGATTATTTAACCCGGCCTTATCCAATGAGGAGAGTTAGGTAGGCCATTGGTTATGCCGTCAATCTTTGATTATTTAACCCGGCCTTATCCAATGAGGAGAGTTAGGTAGGCCATTGGTTATGCCGTTAATCTTTGATTATTTAACCCGGCCTTATCCAATGAGGAGAGTTAAGTAGGCCATTGGTTATGCCGTTAATCTTTGATTATTTAACCCGGCCTTATTCAATGAGGAGAGTTAGGTAGGCCATTGGTTATGCCGTTAATCTTTGATTATTTAACCAGGCCTTATCCAATGAGGAGAGTTAGGTAGGCCATTGGTTATGCCGTTAATCTTTGATTATTTAACCAGGCCTTATCCAATGAGGAGAGTTAGGTAGGCCATTGGTTATGCCGTTAATCTTTGATTATTTAACCCGGCCTTATCCAATGAGGAGAGTTAGCGAGGCCATTGGTTATGCCGTTAATCTTTGATTATTTAACCCAGCCTTATCCAATGAGGAGAGTTAAGTAGGCCATTGGTTATGCTGTTAATCTTTGATTTGATCATCCACTATGTTCCTTCCTTCTTCCAAGAAGAAGGAGGTACATGTTCCGAAGGCCTGTAATTGGAGGATGGGTATTGTAATTACCTGAGTTTATGAACATTTTCGATGTTTCGTAAGCAAGGGCAGATACGAGACTAGAAGAGTGTTTCAGTTCAATGGCTCTGGCCAAAGTGACCTCTTGGGCCTCTGCTGTAGATTGATGGATGTAAGCATTCAGTACTCTACTATCCATGTCTGTGCCTTTTTCTGGCTGCTCCACTAGTCTGCCAACTTGGGAATCCTGAAAATACAAGAATAAAGGCACATTAAGTGTGTGTTAAACACTGAAAACTGTAGACAGAAATGGAGAAATGGATTACCTTGTTCTTAATATTCGTAATATTATGCTTTAACATGTACGGGTATAAACATCAGAAATGATGTCACCTGTTAAACCTTTTATATGTACTGTATTTTATTATATTATTAAGGAATAAATTGAATTGAATTGAATTGAGACTGTGTTTCACAACAAGCTCAGAAGGCTTCCCAATTGACGTACATATTAAGAAACCTTTTGGCCAGTACCTTCAGTGTAAACATTAGACAGGTTCTATCGTATGTTAAGAGAGATTTCTGAACCTACACTTTTGAATGATTCGGCATGACATCATGCCTGACACCGTAAAAATAATTTCGATCAGTTATTGATGCTTATGATGCACCATGAATTAAATCATCAGTATACCTGATATACATGCATTTGAAAGTTCAACACTCCACACAAGAAAATTCTACCCCCATTAGGATTTATTCCAAAATTAGAGTTTTTGGGTCACCCAGTATATGAAAAAATCAAAGTCCCAAATAAATAGCACAATCCTAAAGTAGAAAAAATAATTAAAGAAAAATAATGACAGCAATTAAAAACATTTTAATATTACTTTTCTTGGAAAAGCCAATTCTGAATATTGGACTGCTAGGAATGTAATGTCACATAAATATGAGAAGCATTACGAAATTGACATTGACATTACCTTATTCCCTTAATTGATAACGGAAAATAAGATCACTTTTCCGGGTTTCCCCCATGTATAAAAAGACTACGAAAAGTGACGGGAAATTATGAACAATTTATTTGAAATTTGATGTTTAAGCACCTACTTCAGTAAACGTAAACCAGTCTACCTGGGGAGCAAATGTATTAGTAAACTGTTAAACTGTCATTAAACCATAGTAAGATGTCAGGGACATACTTTTATTCAGTATAAACTGCTATTAAAATGGCAGGAAAGAATATACAGTGTTATATGTTAAAGAGAGCTAGTAAGGAAAAACTGCTATTAAAGTGACAGCAAAGAATATACAGTGTTATATGTTAAAGAGCATAAGGAAAAGCTGCTATTAAAGTGGCACAAAGAATAGACAATGTTATATGTTAAATAGAGTGAGTGAGTGAGTGAGTGAGACCCATACAAGTTTTATATGATGTAATCAGTGTGAATCATATGACATCCTTCATACTCTTGGAAGTATTAGTCAATATTAACTGAATGCCCATTATGCGAATTGATCAATTTATGTTCAGCAATAAAACAAAATCCATAAAACAAAAATAAAGAAGAATTGCTTTTGACCATTGGCTTGTGATTGCTTTCATACAACATTGGAAGACTCATGAGTTACTAGAAATCTGCGACTCAACGGAGTAGCAAATCCCAACCAATACTATATAAATCACGAATCTGTCACAATGTAATATTTACCATTCTCCCCATCAATAAACAGATCATTGTAGTACCATGTAACCATACTTAAAGATATCTCTACAAGTAATGGCGAATTCCAGCTCTAGGCAGCCATTTTGAATTTTCTGAGGCACAATAAAGAAAAACAATACCATAATTGTCTACTCTAAAATTTCATCAATTTCAGTATAATATAGCCAAACTTCTAAGAGATCAGAAAATTATTGCAAAATCCCACATTAGGCGGCCATTTTGAATTTTACAAGGCCAGAATCAGAAAAATGATACAATATCTGCAATATACTCTATACTGTATATCATTTGAGTATAATAAAGCTATACTTCAAAAACATCTCAAAATTAACACAAGTTTCTGCTTTTTTCCTGATTTTTGCGAAAGATTTCCGCCAATTTTAAAGTGGCAGCCATCTTGAAAAAATATACATCTTTCTAAATCTGTCAACTAGTATTCAAGTTATTTTCAAGATGGATGGACAGACAGACTGAAGGATGGACGGAGGGCTTCACTATATTCCCACAGAACTTCGTTCGTTGAGATAATAATGCATCAATGCAATCCAGTAGTAGCAGTACCAAACTAGTATGGCTAACATGGAATAGAATTAAAACATAACAGATTTTTGAACTTGCCTCCAGATTCAGAACTTTTGGAGTTTCTAACCTAATGTTCATCATTAGTTTATATAGCTATTAACTAATTATAATTGGTTAATGTTCATTAGTTATTTAAAAAGGTATGAAATACATAAAACCACCTTATGTATTATCTATCTAATTTGGAATACACAAAAACATAAAAATCATTAAAGAAAATTATGAACGTTTTTCAATATTTTCTGCTGGTTACAGCTGTCTCTTACAATACCAACTAATTTTCCCTTTAGGCTGTTTTGTTCATGATATTTATTCCAAATATCTTAAGCAATAAATTACATATTTTTTCCTACGCAATACGCGTTAAGGGCTAACAATTTGTTACTATAAGTTGAACATTCAATTAAAGTATAGTAAGAAACATCAATAATGAGTATCTATTACTCTCAGCTTTATGGTAACATAACATGCTTATTGCGTAGGTTAAAGTACATTCGAGAAAAATCAACAAACGTTACTTTTAACCAACTTCAGCTGATTAATCGTTTTAAAAAAATAAAAGCATCCATTTTGCCTTCTTGTCTATTGGGGATTTGGTTATTGGACTCAGGAGTTTTACTATAAATAAATTTTCCTTTTAGTAAAGTGGCTCTAACAATAAAGAATCGTTTCTGGGTTTCAGATAATACATTCTGTATCCCAAAAAAAAGTGAATCGGTTTTTGGCAAGTATTTTCTCAGCTATAGATACGTCAAACTCTCCAGATTCTCTGAAAAATTTTAATAATGAACTATAGGGTGTCAAGTGCTATAAATATGAAAGAGATCGACTCTATATAATGTGAGTATTCTCAAATTAAGAAGGTACATGACGTGAAAGAGATCACGCAATTGAATGACCTTCAAAATGGCCGCCAGAAAACAAGAACCCCAAAATTAATCAACTTGATATCTTCCTCTATCGGCCTCTCTTAGAAGCCATTTATGAAGAATAAATGCTTTAATGTATTTTTCCATCAATATCACCCTTAATGACATAATTATTCAATATGTGAGGAAATAAGTGACTTAAAACATTTATTTTTAATATTTATACCATGTCAAATAGGAATCTGAAAATAATCTCAAAGCTAAGGAATAACTGACACAAATGTAAAATATGTTACAATGGTAATGAATTTTACACTAAATTCATGAATTTCACTGAATTACAAGTAGTGTAGCATGTTTTACCAGAGACATATGTTTTATATCGATATATCTCTGGTTTTACATAAAAAACATATACAAGAATTAAACACCTTGCACAGGGTACTTTTGTTCATTTACTTTCATGACTAGATTTGACTAGAGATAACATTGATTTAAGTCATCTTTTATGCATCAAAAATTCAAAATACAGTCAAAGTGATATCATATTTAAAATTTACATGTAAAGTTACATCTTTAAAAAGTGTTTATCAACTTTGAATATTTAATTTTCTTTGAAAATGTGACTTCTAGTTTGGGAGATTCCCCATAGACCCCATGTAATGTTATAAAATCACAAAAAAAGTAAAATAACTTTTCTTGAATGGAATGGGACAGATAATATTTTTCTTTCCTGGACATATTTTAATTTGTATAATTATCAGATACATGAGGGTAATATGAAAATTGAACCACTGAAACTTTTGAAATCCAAGTTTAAGTGAAATTTCTAATACCCTGCCATGTTATCTGCCCCTAATTAGCCACCTGGTAGTGAAACTGGCAACTATCTACTCGCATCTGGGTTATTGTTGATGTATATTGCTATAGTGGTTACTTGATGCCCATAAGAAGACATATCAATGCACATATCAAAACTAGAAAAACAGCAACTCCACGGAGCAGCAAATCCCACCGAAGGGCAGTTGAGTTACCAAAGATTACGAAAATGAAAATGGCAGCCATTCTGAAGATCAGTCGCCATCTTAAAAAAATTTTCTCGAACAGAGCTACTGTGTTTCTAGGCATCAGCATATAAAATTTGAACCAAATCTGTTCACTGGTATTTGACTTATCAAAGATTACGTTTTTTCTTATGAAAAATGGCTACCATTTTGAAATTCAGCTGCCATCTTGAAAATTCTTTCTCGAACAGATCTCCTTTGTCCCTAGGCATCATCATATAAAATTGAGCCAAATCCGTTCACTGGTATTTGAGTTATCAAAGATTACCTTTTTTTACGAAAAATGGCTGCCATTTTGAATATCACACCGCCATCTTGAAAATTCTTTCTTGAACAGATCTATTGTGTCCCTAGGCATTATCATATAAAATTTGAGCCAAATCCATTCACTGGTATTTGAGTTACCAGAGATTACGTTTTTTTACGAAAAATGGCCGCCATTTTTAAATTCAGCGGCCATCTTAAAAATTGTAACTCGAACAGATCTACTGTGTCCCTTGCCATCATCATATATAATTTGAACCAAATCCGTTCACTGGTATTTGAGTTATCAAAGATTAAGTTTTTTTACGAAAAATGGCCGCCATTTTGAAATCTAGCCGCCATCTTGAAAATCTTTACTCGAACATATCTACTGTGTCCCTAGGCATCAGCATATAAAATTTGAACCAAATCCGCAAACTAGTATTTGAGTTATTAAAGATTACATTTTTTACGAAAAATGGTGGCCATTTTGAATTCAGTGGCCATATTGAAAATTCCTTCTCAAGCAGAGGTCCTACACCCATAAGGCATAAGCCTATAAAATTTGAATCAAATCTGTGAAACGGTATTTGAGTTATCGCCCGGACAAACAGACGGATGGACGGACAGACGGACGGACGGACGGACGGACGGACGGACGGACGGACGGACGGACGGATGGACGGATGGATGGACGGACGGAAGGCTTTCCAATATCCCTCTCGAACTTCGTTCGGTGGGATAATAATTATTAAAGAGCCC